AATTCTTATTTTTAATTCTTATTACAAGAATTTCTAAATGCTTCCGCACCAGGATGACACGGATTTGTTTAGTTTGATCATATCCTGCTGCAGTCAAGTAGTTAAGGGCGCAATTCCCAGTGAGAATTATGGCAGGCATGCCTTTATCTAGATGCCCAAAAATGTATAGCATAAGTTTGTGATGTTCCTTAATTAATATTCTTGACATGCAATGTAGAAAGCTCATTACAGAAAATGAAAATCGCAGTATGATGTCACTAATCAACAATTACATATCATAAGCAAAAGTTTAAAACTTTGCCCAATGTCAAAGGTAAACAACCACAAAGGCATTCAAAGAGACCAGAGCAATTTAAAGTAGAAATTCAATATTAACAAGGGGATACTTTGAGGTTCAATATCCACCATATGCACTGGAATATTAAGCAACATACCTTTAGTACAGTATCCGTACCAAAAGGAGATCGCAGTTTTCCATAATACTGACAGGATATTTTTAGCACCAAGAGGAGCAACCTCAACACCTCACCTTTCCCGTAGTCCATATCAGCAGCCCCCGAGCTTGCTATCCTATCGTTAATCCATTTGTTAAGCTCTTTAATGCCAACACCTCCACCAGTAAGAGGACCAGGGAAGGACTGCTGACAGAGAGCTCGGAAATAATTACAAGCACCGATTCCAAGGGTTGAAGCATCAACTTTGTCGTTTACAATCTCCGCTAAGTTGAGAACAGATATTGAGCCTCCTACAGGATTCTTCACATGGAATACAAAATATTTTTCAAAATTTACTAGTAACAAGAGTCAAGAATACTAGGAGGACAGATACCTCAGAGACTGACCTTACTCTCAAAGTTTGAGCTTTCAGCAGAGCTGCTATCTTTCATCACAATGAGCTTTCCACCAAAACCAAAAGTAACCAAAGCATGCGGAGGACGGCCAGCAGATGACCTTTCTGCAGCAGGAGCATTAGGGAATTGATGGGCACTCTGATTATACTGCTGCAAAAAGCTAAATGAATTTTGATTGCTATGGTAGTCATAAGAAATTCGTTTGTGGTCATTTTGATTAATTCCAGACTGATTGAACTGCTGATTGAGGTTCACCCCAAAAACAGAATTTTGGGAACCAGCAGGCATACCAAAGCCATTTTGACCTTGACTGACATTTTCAAAATACGAACCAGTTTCCCCAAGATTAACTGATTTTTCTTCGCTTCCATGAGCGTTCACGGAGAAGTTCTGCGTGTAGTAATTTTCTAATTGTTGGTTTCCACTATATTGTGAAGTAGGCTCATTCTTGGCAATGGGTTCAGGTTTCCACGTTCTTAAACTTTGCTGATTATTACTATTGAATGACCCAGCCCAGGTCTGACCTTTGCCTTGGTCACTAAAGCCTTGGGATCTGTAGTTATTAACTAGACCATATGCAATGTCTGTCTTCTGATCATTGTTTTGAGAGAATGTATTGGTCAAAGAATATCCATTCTGATTCGCTTGAGTTTGAGCAGTGGATAGATCAGATGCAGTAAATGATTCCAAAGAGCACCATTCCTGGGTAATAGTATCATAATACCAGCCAGGGTATTGAGGGTCAAAAAACATGTGTGGTGGGTACCTGCCATTTACTTGGGAATCCTGTTTCAGTGCAACCCCAGTTGTGTCACTGCTTACTTGTGAAACTTGATTCCAATTCGTGGTGCTTGCTGTAGCATCATTTACCTGAGATGCCTGATTCCAATCAGTAACACTCTCAGTTGTACTCGCAGCACCTACAGTACCCACAACAGACTGAGCAGTCTGCTGCAAGTAAGAGATATTTGCCTCTCCAGGCATAGAAGTTGAATTAGAGTCAACATTTCCTTGCATGCTTGCACCAGCATCATAACCATCTACCTGATACCACTGACCCGTGCTTGGATCATACTTCCAACCTGGATAGAGACTCTCCAAATACTGACTGCCATTCAAATCCTGCCCAGCCGCCACCTGCTCCGCAGTGGTACCAAAATTATACCCCTCTTGATACTGCCCCAATTCACTTGAATTTACCTCATGCGTATATCCACATACTTTGTTACCATAAGCAACCTTGGACTCATTATTCAAACTAACCCCCACATTCCCAAATGCATCATCAGCCTTGTTCCCTTCAACTTCACTAAGAAAATCTGAATACGATCCAAAACCATTACTATCATTCTGAGCTGCGTCGGCATGAAAGGCAGTCCAGTCCACCTCCGTAACTCCCGAACCCCCTGATCCTCCACTACTGTTTCTCACTATCATGGTATTGGACGAATCCTTACTGCTACTCTCACTCACTACAGTTGTATCAGACAAATCCCCGGACCCTCCTATCTCAACTTTGGGTTCGTGTATCAGAGTATCAAACTCGAACGAATTTGATGACACTAATGGACCTCCATTCTCCTCCAAACTCGCAACCTTCTCAACTTCCCCATTTTCCTTGCTTAATTCATCAACCCATCTAAAACTACCACTCGTAGCAAAATTAGTATCAACCCCACTATTGTTCTCAACCTCATTGATACTCAAATTCGCCAAGGCCTTAGCCTCATTTGATTCATTCCCATCAGCGAAACTGAGTCCTGCCAATGTCGATGATGTAGCAGTGACCTTAAAGTCCACATCATTGTCATCATTCACTAACTTATCAAAGAAATCCTCATCAGTATTATCCTCCACCTGGAATGGAGGAGGATTGGAAGCCATCTACTCACAAGCAAATCCCTAAATTCTACGAAATTAATTCCCCCAAGATTTAACAATTACAAACTTTATAACAATCCGACCTGATGTCATTTAGATCCAATAACAAAATCCACGAAATAGAACAATAATAAAAAAAACCGTAATCCAATGCAAATCAAACAAGATCTAGGGGGTTTACCCAAATTTCGCCACCATTAAATGAACGCCAACACATTAATTCGGCAAAACTTTAGAGCTCAACTCTTAAGGATCTAACAAACAAATGAAAATTTTCGTGCAGAAACTATTTATTTACAGATATAAATAAATAAATAAATAAAAAAAAACCTCAAATCTACCCAAAGTTAATACATTATAACAAAGAAAATGTAGAAAGAGAACCTGAGGTAGTAATGACTTAGTAACCTTAGCACTCAATGTTTGATTATAATTCATTAACAACAAATGTACATTAATCATTTGGTACAAATTTAGTGAAGTCAAATGTAGTAACGACTTGGTAACCTATATAACTTATTTATTAAGAAAAATTAATGAAAATTTGCTCACATATACTAGCTTATGATGTAACAACCACAATTTTGCATATATTTCTTAAGGGTTAAATGTTTCAGAAAAAAACTTTAGAGCTCGTTGAGGAAATTTCATTGAACTTTAAAATATTTTTTAAAACAATATCGAACTTTATAAAAACGCTCTTAATCCATCACTTGTTAACATTTCATTGGTTGACTTAGATGGAGCTCCGTACGTAACTGACAAAATGCACACGTAACACTACTTTCCATCTAATTCCTAAAAGTGAAATCGTTTTGCAATAGCACCAAATTGTGTCCCTAAAGAATGCATCTTCTATTAATGACAATAAAAAATGTTGAGTTCGACCCTATGAAAAAATTCTCAAATTTAGCCACAAAATTTCTCTACCACCTTTCATTAATTTTCCATTTTTTCTAGTATTATTAAAATCGGATTTGACTAATCAATCTGAAAAATTGGGAATTTGCTTGAAATCCAATCCGATCACATAGTATAAATTGTCAGCTAAAAAACCTGTAAAAGAATCAGCGGTCGATCTATTAAGACATAAACATGTAAACCAGTCATGATTTTACCGATTTGCTTTATCAATTATAAATAATAATAAAAAAAACTAATGAATTAAATTTTTAACTATAGCCCCCCACACACAAATTATAAAATTGTTTAGCTGCTTATCCCCTATCATCTAGGTCCTTTTATAAAACTTTATCTCTTTCATCCCAATTTCACAATGTGGAATC